CCTAATGATAAGGTGGGCAGGCATTGGAACAGGCTGCCCAGGGAAGTGTGTGAGTCACCATTCCTGGAGGTATTTAAAAGACCATAGATGTGGCACTTTGGAACTTGGTTTAGTGGTGGACTTGGCAGTGTCAGGGTAGTGGTTGGACTCAGAGATCCCTTAAGGGTCTTTTCCAACATAAATGATTCTACGATTCTGTGATAATGAGTACACAGGGAGGCATAATCCCGTTCAGTGTGGACAAACTCAGAAGCTAATTCCCCAGATCCCACAGAGTCTGCCTTCTAGGCTAAGCTGCATCTGTTTTACTGTATCCTCCCAGTCTCCTTTTCAGTTTTGTTTTGTTGGGGGTTGTTTTGTTTTGTTTTTAAATGTGTGTATTTCTCACACCCCATCTGTTTTGCATTTTGGAAGCCTCAGGGGCAGGTGCTCTCTTCTCCATCTTTCCACAGTGACTGGCAAGGACTCAGGGGGAGTCCAAGTTCTGCTGCTTTACAATAAGCATAAAAGTAACCTGGATCCCCTAAGCCTCTTCGTCCATACTCTTAGCTGTAATATCACCAAATGTATGGTCAATTGTATGTGTAAGATTTATTATTAAAGTGATTGTGTGTGCTGTGATTTATAAATCACATCACAGTAAGAAGTGGGAACTGCTGTGGTCCCAGGCAGCAATGCCAGGTTTCAGCACATCCCTGACTAGAAATGGCTGAGCACTGCAGAACTGATTCACTGACTCAACTCTCATTGGAATTGAGAGAAAAGTCTTGCGGTCACCCTAATATATGTTTCATGTTTGTGGCTTTAAATTATGACACAATTACCTGTTCTCTGTCAAATGTGTTTCATTTCACAAAGGAAATCTTAAAACATTAATTACTAAAAAATCTCATGCTTCCTCTTGATACTGTAGCACAAATGTAAACTTTCAATACTTTGTAATTTACAGCAGCAGTTAAAAGGAGACTGTTCCCAAAATCACAGAGTAGTTCAAGTAGAAAGGGACCCCCAGAGTTCATCTGATTTATCTGCCACTGCTCAAAGTGGCATCAGCTAGAACAGGTTACTTGGGACTGTGGCCAGATGGGTTTTGAATATTCCCAAGGATAGAGCCTCCCCCACCTCTCAGCATTCTCTTTCAGCCTTCTTCTGTGCACAAAGACCTCTGAATTCTCCCTGTTTTTCCCCCTGGCCACCTGCTTTAGTGTACAGGCACTTCAGAGCTGCCTGGTCAGGCTGGTTTCTCAGAAGAGGTGTGAGTGCTCTGCCCATGACACTTTCCCGTACCCTCGTTTATGTGCACACACTTCATGTGGCCTCCCTTCCTCACGAGGTCTCTCCTGCCATGGCATCCTGCAGTCATTGCTCCACCACTGCCTCCCTTCCATCACTGTTGCCAAGCTCTCCTTGCCAGGCCTCTTGGTAGGGATGATTTTGCCCCATTTTTCGTTCTTATCCAGGGCAACTTGAGACCAGGGAAGCTGCATGCAGAATCACACATGACTTAGCTGGTGCCACACTGATAGAATGGGATAATGAGGAATGTTTGTGTGAGGAGCAGTTCTGGGAACAGGCAAAGTGAAAAGGCAGCAAGCAGGGAAATAGCCCTCTCTCCACTGAGGAAATAATTCAAGAAAAAGAGGAATAAGAGGCAGGTGTGTGCTTCTGACATTTATTGAGTCTTTAAAATCTTAGAAATACTTGTATTGTGAAGGTCTCAGCTGTCTGCTGCTGACAAAACGTGGCTGAACTTGTGTGTGTGTGTGTAGACATATTACATGTGCATACACAGATGGCCAAAGAAAGTACTTCTTAGTGAATAAAAATTGTTTGACTATACTTTAAAAAAAAAAGAATCCACACAATGTATGACCCACCCTGTATATGATCATCAAACTGAAATATGCATACAGCATTTCTCCTACAGCACTTCAAAATTATGAACAACAAATATAGAGTCAAATTCTGTCCTTCATCCCTGTGATGGGCAGCTTATTCCAGACTGTTTTAATAGTCTTTCCTGCTCCCATGTGTTAGATTAAATAGTAGAAATGCCAACTGGATGATAATGTAGTATCATTTCTGGAAGTATTGGCTTTTAATGTTAATCTTCAATGGGATGCTTTACTGCAGGCATGTGCATATATTAGATAACCCTGGCACGCAGAGAGTATTTTAAGACCTACATAATTTTGAAACACCCTTTAATATTTAGTGAAAGTGATGATACATTCCATGCACATAAGATCAGAAGCAGACCTTCCAGGCTTGTTTTACTTCTCAGGATAGATGCCAAATTGGGAGCCCACAGTATTTTGGTTTCCTATAGGACAGTTAAAATGGCACCACAAGCTGTTCCACTGACATCTGAGCCTGGTCTTGGGCAGTCAGCTCACAAAGTAGAAGTGCCAAAGGGAATAAGAAATACAACTGTCTTCACATGCTTATCTTTTAATCTGAGATTAAATAGGAGATTTCCAAAACAAATGCTAACAACTATTATGGATTCTGGGATGTTGAACTGTGATGTGAGAAAATTCATTTTAGTGACTGAAGTCCATCATCTGGTGCTATCTGCGCTGTCCAGAATCAGCCTGTCAAATCACAGGCAACTTTAATTTGTAACCACTTCTCTCTCACTTTCTGTTTATCCACAAATGATAAAATAAAATAAAATAAAATAAAATAAAATAAAATAAAATAAAATAAAATAAAATAAAATAAAATAAGCTGTGTTCTTAAGTTTTAGATTTAAGCAACATTATTTTATATCCACAAAATAAAAGATGAACCCTCTGTAATTAATAGATTTTGTAGGAAGCAATATTCTTACAGATTTTCACATTGTGTTAGCTGCTGTTTAGAAGAAGGAAGAAGTGTGTGTAAGATTAGATTCAAAGCATTTCTGTGAAATTTATCTGGCCCCTTTTGGAGCAACCTGCTACATGGGGGAGAGGAAAAAAACAAATCCTGGCCTTGATGTCAAAACAATGTAAACTCCTCTTAGTATGTTGACTTGTGGAACAAGTGAGGCATGAAAACAAAAGTGCAGAGCCCTCAGTAGTGACAGTGAATATTTTATCTTACCAAGAGAAAGCAACAAGAGACCAAATCCTTAAAGCATATGCCGTGCTGACAGTGCGCTCTCGCTGTGACAGTAATGGTATTTGCAATCCCAGCTGCACTCAAGCCTGTGCTGTAAAAGCACCCATTCCTCAGAGTGCGTGTTGCCCTTTACTGGCCCTTAGCCAGATGAAGGAGCTTTTCTCTGTTGCTTATGTTGCCCTGTAGAAATGGATGCTTAAACAATTATTTCTCTTCCCTGAAGTGAAATTGGAGAGATTTTGGGATCACTAGCTCTTCCAAAATTTTCACGGTGCTGAAAAGTACCTTTAGGTGACTGTAGCTTTTTGCACATGAAGCAACCATTCTCTGGCTTTTTACAAATATCTGATGTAAATGTTGGTCTGAAATTCAGGGACTGGATCCTCACAGAAATGTTGAAGCCAAAGTACCACTGTTACTGCAGTGTGGTTGTTTGAGAGTGGTTGGCAAGAATGTTTAGAGGGTGATCCAGGGCTGTGACTAAAAGTATTCACCAGTCTCTGTCAGAGATAGTTTTGACCACGTCTAAAGTCTAGGAGTTGGTGAGCCGATTAAAGGTAAAGGAAGTTGCTCCTCTGGGAATGTGTTTGAATGTGTATGCTCTCCAGTTTTTTCTAGCACCCATTTGTTTGTTGTTCTCTCCTGGCTGAGGCATGAGATTCAGAGGGAATTAGAGAATGCTGCTTATAAATTATGGAGTTTCTGCCTCATGATTACCATTCTGTCATCAAAAATGTCAGTTTATCCTTCACTAGTCAGCTCTTTCTCAGTTTCTCCATCCTCTGCTTTAAATTGTTCCCCATCACTGCATCCATTCCCAGCCCAGGCCTTTGTGTGGAGACCCAGTCATCCTACACTGACTCCTAGTTTCTACTTCATATTTGAGCAATTCAGGAAGTTTTGGGTGATTCAAAAATGCAATTACATGGTAGCATTTCAAGACATCTTGGTATTGCTTCAGAGAGACAGCTTTGAAGAATGCATGCGATGACCTTTACAGAAAGTAAGGAAGCAATGTGGATTGTGGTGTGGTAAAAGAGGGATAAGCAGGAGGCACAAATTAAATCCTGGAATTATACGTAATTCCTTCTAAATGTGACCAGTTGGGTTCTGTGCTATCCAGAAGAACAGCAACCGGGTCACTTCCAGCTCAGCTTCACTCTGAAGTGTGATGTCCTGTTTTAGAGCTGCTGACAGGCAGCTTGGAACCTTGTCCACAACTGCAGCCAAGCCCACAGCAGAGCTTCCAGCAGTTCCAGGCTCCCAGGCAAGCTCTGGTTTCAGAGCATGCCCTCAGCTCTCACATATTCACTGCTATTGCTACCTAGGCTTGGTGAATTTAGGTTGGGAATTACCCACATTTCTGACTGTACTGTAAGTATCCATTTTTTCCTCACCCTATAGGCTTTTTGTAATAGGAACATAATGTAGATGGGCCAAAATAATCAAAAAACCATTCGCAACTAAGTTTTTTTATTAAGTTGCTAAACTGTAAATTGCAATTTATCTAAATGACTAGATTTCTCTTCTGATATGCATTGATGTCTGGGATATAGCTTAAACCTCTAAAAATTTATAAAAATGATAATTCACTGGTTTTATTTCCATTCAATCACTAACTAAACCCTCTAACAAGTAACAGCATGGCTTCTGACCTGATTGTAGTGTAAGCTTTTTCCCCAAGTGACTGTCAACCAAAGATAGCCCTAAAATAATGGGGGGAAAAAGGATGCCATAGAGAAGAGTTTCTAGGGAGAGGATAGGATAGGATTGTTATAATTTAAGAGTGCCCTGCTTTTCTTGTAATTTTAAAATTCTGTTTTACAGATAGACTTTCTGGTCAAGCTCCAGATGCTTTTGTTTGAGTAGCCTCAACCTCCCTATGGACTCAACAGATGTATCACGAAATGGCATTGCTCACTGGGAATGCAGACCCTGAGTTCAGCTCCCGCTCCTTCAACAACTTGGAAAACCTGTGTGAAGTGCAAACCAAGAAAGGATTCTTCTACAAAAAGGCCAAACTTCTGCATGCTGGAGAAGACCTGTGCTGCTTAGCCCGCTTGGATGACCGGTCCAGGTTTGTGATCATCAACGTAGGTGGTATTAAGTATAAAATTCCCTGGACCACCTTGGAGAACTGCCCCTTGACCAGGCTTGGGAAGCTAAAATCTTGCAACAATTATGATGAGATCATGGACATCTGCGATGATTATGATGTTAGCTGCAATGAATTTTTTTTTGACCGTAATCCTAGTGCCTTCAGAACCATCATGACATTCCTGACAGCCGGGAAGCTGAGGCTTCTCAGGGAGATGTGTGCTCTTTCGTTCCAGGAGGAGCTTGTGTACTGGGGGATAGAAGAGGACCACCTGGAGTGGTGCTGTAAAAAGAGATTGCGACAGAAAGAGGAAGAGGCAGCTGAGGCCAGGCTGTTTGAAAGGGAGATGGTATTTAATGAAGCTACGCAATGTGCCTTCCAGGACAGCAGCCGACTGAGTTTGTGCATGAGGAAGCTCAGGGATATGGTGGAGAACCCCCACTCAGGGATCCCAGGAAAGATCTTTGCTTGTATTTCAATATCCTTTGTTGCCATCACTGCTGTCAGCCTCTGCATCAGCACCATGCCAGATGTCAGAGAAGAAGAGGATCGGGTAAGTGCAGCTTTTCTTCAGGTAGAGGGTGTTTTGCATTGTTGTCTCCTGAGGAAATGTGACAGGCAAAATCACTCCAGCAGATATGCAGGTATTGTGTTCAGTATATATGAAGTGGAAGGCTGGCTGGGTAGAGCACAGAAAGCATTATGTCACTCAAAACTGAGGGAAGATTGGGTCAAACTCTGCCCTGCCAGCCCAGCTTAGGCAGTTCACACCAGCAGATAGCCTTACCCACCAGATTTGTTTCCTGACACGTCTAACCAGATGACAAACTAGCTACTCTGGGGATAAAAACCAGCCTTTCTTGTGGTTTAGTGTTTTGAGGTTAGGTTTAGAGCTAACAGATCAATTTTCCCTAAAGGTACTTTAACAATGTGAATGAACTCTCAGTGCGCCAGTGTAAAAACCACATCTAAAGTATTTTTGATGCTACAGGGTAATGTAAAGGCCAGGGAAGCTGAGGCAGCAACTTAACAGCAGAAACAGAGCAATTGTCCCAATTTTCAGACCTGCTTAGTATTCTCAAGCGTAAGCTGTGGATGATTCATGCCCTTGAAAATCAAGTCTTACAGATATTTTGTTTATTCTTTAGTTCATCAAATTTCCTAAGGGTTTAGTCCCTTCTCTGTGCAAGCAGTTCACTTCTCTAGGATTAATTGTATGTAGGCCAGTGAGAGCTCATCTGAAAAATGGTAGAGCAGAACATTCACATTTTCTTCACATGCATGCTGAAATGCAATCTGAGGAGTTAGCAGTGGGGACGTTTTGAAGAATTCATGCCCTCTCTAGTTTTACCCAAGTCCAAGCTTGACACTAAATGTTTGGGCTTATTTCCCAGCCCCCGTGGTCATTAAATGTGGTTGTGAAGTACTAAGACAGTACTTCATGCCATGAAGTGCAGCCTCTGAGATGAAGGCTGAGCTATCCTGGAAGCAGCTCCTCCCGTGTGCTGTCACCCAGGGGCTGGATGGCTTGTGCCCCACTGCCACGAGCAGAAAAGAGAGTGATCATCCCCAGACCAGAAACATTTAGTGTTATGCCACCTTGGCAGTAAAATGCATGCTGATGGAAAATGGATCCAGCTGCTCCAGAGAGACCCCCTGAGATCTCAGTCAGAGATCTGACTGAGCACCCTGTGTACAGTTAAAGCCACCCTTTGCTTGTGACGTCTGCTCAGGTTACATCTCAGCTGAGTAGTTTGATTTGGAATCAGACTCATTCAGGAGCAGACAGGAAAACAGATAAACCATTTGGTATGTTGACTGATAATATGATCTATTATCAGATCTTTATTTTAAGGGCTTTTTCTGATTCAAAATTTGAGGATGGCAGTACTGGGTACTAGTTTAACACTATTTTGTCCTGATAATGTTTTTTAAGATATCATTTCCAAGACATATGTCTTTTACTGTAATTAACCATCAGGGCTCCAGTATCCTGAATTCTAAGCACAAGGGATATTTTACTGTTGAAAACTGAGATGTATTTAGTGTTTAACTGTTCTCAGGTTTAAGTGAGAGCTGAACAATTCCTTTAAGAATCATGAGAGTTTAGGAACCTTATGTTTTTACTGTTGGTCTCAGCATAAATAAGGGCTCATGATAAAGGTTAATAATGTTTCTTGGGTGGAGCAGGATAATAATGAGGATAGAGCAAGCATATGAGAGAAGCCTGGATGTCTTAGTAAGCTGGAACCAGTACAAGAAGCACATTTTCATAGTCTAATGCAAGATTTTGCAATAAAGATGAATGCAGGCTTGCTCGTGTAAAGATGAATGCTCGTGCTTGCTCTGGTTCCCAAAATGAAGGATAAATAATAAATAATAAATAATATTTAGGGTACAAGCAACCATAAATTCCTACTGCAACATAAAGTCAGAAGGGTTAATGCCATCCTTGAATATCTAAGCTGGGGAGTATTAATAAGAAGCTGGAAGATTTTTTGTGCCTGTATGCAGTATTGGTGAGTCTGACACTAGAATACTGCAATTGGTTCTCACATTCATATTTTTAATGGTGTTTTGAAAAATTGGGAGAGGGCTAAAAACCTGTAAATCTTAGACACCTGGAGAAAATGCCATACAATAAGAAATTTGAACATTTCAGTTGATATAAATTATTGGAAGGAAGGGGATTGGATTAGGCACATAGGTGGGTTTTTTATGAGGGGAGAAGAACTGTATCTTTAAAAGACCTTTAAATTAAGTAGGGGGAGGATGCATGGATAAAAGCTGAATCCTTATAAATTAATATGGGAAACTATATGCCAGTATTTAATACCAAGGTGATTCATTACTGGAAGAGAATTACTAGGAAGAGACTTAGTGGATTTTGTGCTTCTAGATATTTTCAGTTAAAAGCTCAGTACCCTTTTGTTTAGCCCTCAGCTAAACAGATTCTACTTCAATCAAAAGAAAAACATCAATTGCAGATCAAGTTACAAAGGTGAAATTCCTGCAATACAGAGAAGATCAGAATAAATTATCCAATGTTCTTCTGCGCCCTTAAATTCTAAAAGCACAGAGGTCCTGCAAATAATCTTTGTTCTATGCTTTGCACAGGGAAGGTCTGTGGACAGACTGGAAATGGTTATTTTGTTTGAGACAAAGGTGGCTCTTTTGTCCAGGGGACTGGTAAAGGATCACTTCTGGCAAGGCAAGGAGTAGGCACCTGCCCACTTGGGATCACCTGTAGGGTCTGGAGCTGTGGCTGCAGACTCCCTGCATGTACTCCCTATGTGCCTTAGCAAGCCAAGGCAGCTCTGCAAGTAACAGGTGTGGAGACAAGAGAGCTTATGTGAATTCAAATTCATGGTAATTATCCTGAGCTGTATCCCCAGTATCTAGATTAAAATTTGTGCTCAGGGATAGTTCTTTGGTCTGGCTTTGCAGTCTCTTAACAAGCAGAAAAAAGATATGCATTCCTCCTGACTAAGGAACAAATAAATAGTAAATACTATTTCAAAGACACACCATACTAAGTGTGCACATTTTTCAGGTTTTCTGGCTGGCATTGTTGTTGTTTTGGTTCCATGTCAGGGCTGTCATGGGTGCTCTGGCTAGCAAAGAATGGCCTTTTCCTTGAGCTGGCATTACTACAGAAGACAAAAGCTCTTTGTGCCATCTATCTGTCCTGTTATTGCTTCAGGGAAAGACAGAGAAGCCAATCATGAAACACCCATGCTGGAGAGCAATTTTCCATACCCTGATCCTCTAACACCATCTGAATGGACCAGCTGTTACACCCAGTAATGTCCTGCAGGGGTGTAAGCGACCTCACACAAGACGTAAGTGTGGGACCTTAAAAGTTAGAAGTAATTAGCAGGTGGGTGAGGAAATTATTTTAGGTACCTGCCTATCTCTTTTAAAATAGAGCAGAAGACTCAATCATACATTTTGTTAACTTTATTAGCTGCTCCAGGTGTTCTGGATGACAGTGGCAATCCCTGGTGGTTTAACAAGAGTGGGAGGGCTCATGCTCCCCCTGTACTGTAGATTCTTGTTCTTACTAAAGGTCACCTTGATTCACCTCGAGTGTTCCTCTTTTTTGGAAGCAGTATCATGTATTTCAGATGCTGCACAATTGTCAGCAGAGTTAACAGAATCAGATCCTGAACTACTTTTCACTTACCAAAGTAGGATATATATATTTTGTCAATTTTTTTCTCATTTAGCTTTTATTTACTGATTAAATTAAATAAAATCCAACAATCCAATAATAATATATATTATACTATATAATTATTATACTTATTATATTATTATAAATAATATAATTATTATATATATTATACTATGTATAATAGCTCCTTCTGGAAATTTCAGGAAAGGGACACTTCAAGTACGTGAAGAAAACAAACATGTGAAGGCAGTCAGGTTCTCCCATGTAAAGTAACAAGAGAATGATAAACTTTTTATTTCAAAATTTTCAGAATGGGAGATTTCAATGCAAGATTTAGATTTAATGGTGAAAAGTCTCCTCTAACGGCAAAATCTGCTGAGACAAAATCATAGCAGGAGCTCCCAGGCACCAGGCCCTTTCAAGACCACCACAAAAGTCACCTCCAAGACATAAAAATAGCCAGAATGAGTATCCTCAAGGCATTTTAGGCATATCCTACCTTTAAGTGGACTTATCACCTCTCTAAACAAATGGCAGGCATCGAGTGACTCAAAAAAAGCAGCTAATGCATCACTGAAGTCTTAAACTAGTTGGGGATACATTACAACAAAAGCTTTAAACACACAATAAGAGCTAAACAACCAAAAGACATTCAGAGAAATTCAGCTGAAAGCCAGATGATCATCATACTAAATTCTTAATTTTTTTCTTGGTGAAAATAGAAATGTCAACTATCTGAAGACAAATCTCTTTTTTGTTAGACAGCAAAGAAGACATCACAGAAGAAAAGGTGGAACTTTGAGATTAGTATCAAACATTCTGTCCTGATTCCAAAAACCATTTATAGGCCTGAGACCCCTGAGTTCAGTCAGTTGTAGCAGCACAGTGCAAAACAGGAGAAGCAGATCAGAGAGTTCCTTCTTCAGCGTGCTTCGTAACATGTTGGGAAAAGCTAGCCTAATGAAAGATGCTGTGATAGGAAGTTACAGTTCAATAACCTTCAGCTGAAGAACATTACAACAAAGAGACTTATAAATAATGAAGTTAATAATAGCTCGTAAAGAAGCCAAAACTATTTAACCTTCTAAGCTCAATTTACACACTGTGCTTCAACTTCCATAATGTTGAGGATGGGGAATAGGTAAATTGTGAATGTGCATTTTAAACGATCTTGTGACTAAAGGTTTCATTTCACAAAGGTACACACAAAAGTAATCTCAGACAAGGTTAAGAGAGTCTTGTATAATGATTCTCAATAGCTTTTCATAGACAAAGTGTTCTGTAAGAAGCTGGGTGAGCAGTTGACTGAAAACTGAACAGCTTGAATGTCTGAGCATTCTGGTCAGTGACACAGAGTCTAATTGGAGGCCAGTAAC